TAGGAAAATGCCAATATTATCCCCATTTAGAAGAAATAAATTACCTGAAGACACACAGAAGATTTGGAATTAAGAAGATAAAGGAAACAGATATAGTAGATTACTTTCATCATTCCTTTGATAATATAGGGGCATTTTGCCCTCAGACTAAGCCTTTGGTTCTAAATTTTCCTTCTTTATAAGAGAATCAAACAAGTTTACAACCCAAACTGATCTTAGAAATCATCCAGACTACATTCATAATTTCACAGAGAAGAAAAACAGACTCAGAGAGGTAAAAATATTTATCCAAGGACACACAACCAGCTAATATCAGAGATGTCATGTTCATCAGGACTGCTGTCCAAAACAGCACTTCCTCTGGGACTCCAAATGAAGTCGTGCTTACATTACTTTGGCATAATGACAGTTCTTGGCCCTGGTCATGCCAAAAACTCCCAGGGAACCAGTAGCTTTGGCATCTCTAGGGAGGTTGTTGGAAATATAGACCCTAAGACCCCGTCCCAGACCTACTGGATGAGTATTCCACTTTAACAAGATTCTCTAGGTGATTTGAGTATTCACTGCAGTTTGAGAAGTGCTGCTCTAGAGAACACTCAGTCAGAAATGGAATACTTACTGGTTGAACTTGATCCTCAGTGCTCCAACCATAGTCTGCAGTTCTGAGGGGATCTGGTTGCTGTACTGGTTGTTAATTTTTTCTGGCTTTCTAGTCTGTCTCTGAGGTCACATGGTTGCCATGGAGATGATTAAGACATCACAGGCAAGGTGAAGAGGTGGGATTGAGAACCTAGGCAACAAGAACAAAATATTCTTAAAGTATAAAGTTCACAATGTTTAGTCTTCCCTGCATTGATAACAAGAGTTAAGAAACCAGGAGGCACTTAAAACACCCCAATCATTTGTATATTGGTTGAACTTTTCTGATACATATTGAATTCCCTTTATTTTCCTTTCCTTGTGCCATGTAGCATTTAAATTGTCCCTTTGTGGGCAAAAAATGTGTATCACTGAATGCAAGATTTGATTCCCTAGGTTTTATGTGATGGCACCTTGTCTCTAGACCTGTGGAAGATATTATTGGAAGAATTAATTAGTTAAACAATCCTGGCAGAAACTTGGGCTGGAAACTTACCCAAATCATCAGTTGGATGATTTGATTGAAGACTTGTTTGCCACTCAATTTTCTCTTTCATGTATTAAGAATGACTATTTTGTCTACCTAAAAGGGGTGTTATGATGAAACAATGACTGTTGTTGTTAATGAAACAACAATGGTGTTGTTAATGAAACAATAGATAGGTGCTCTGAGTAGCAACAAAAAATGAGTGATTTGCTTCCAAGTTTGTTCCAATGTATGTGTACAATGACAATGGTGAGGATCTTCCCTCATTGCATAATACTGAAGTAGGAAGAAACTGTCATACATCCTTTCTTCTTTTCCATATCTCACCTACCTATTTTCTTATTTACCTTTCAGAGATCTTTCACTTTCCAGGGCCATCCATGAGTTTATTACTGCCTACCCAGCTAGGTATCAACAAATAAAGATGTTAATTAATTATCGAAGGTTAATGATTGACCTTTATCAAGGCATTCCATTTTGTGTGTGTGTGTGCAGTTTTATTCTGGTGAGGGTACAGTGGTAGCTCATTGTGGTTTTCCTTTACATTTATCTGATTATTAGTGAAGTTAAGACTTTTTTCATGTTATTGGCTATTTTTTGGAATGTCTATTCAAGCCTCATGTCTAATATTCTGTTGATTTATTTGTGTCTCTTTCTTTTTGAACTCAGTTGTTGTTGCTTAGTTCCTAAGACATGTCTGACTCTTGTGTAAACCTTATCAATTCTAGATACAATTCCCTTATGAGTTATATGAAATGAAAATATCTTCTTCCACTGTAGGGTTTTCATTTTTCATTTCCTTAAAGATGTTTTTTGATGAGCAGAGTTTTAAAATTTTAGTATAACCCACCCTTGCCTTCTCCCAGAGTCCAAAAGTCTGTTCTGTACATCTGGGTCTCTTTTTCTGTTTTGTGCAAAACTTTTAATTAAGATCCAATTGTTTATTTTTGCTTTTGTTTCCTTTGATTTAGGAGACATAGCCAAAAAATATTGCTATAATTTATGTCAAAGAGTGTTCCACCTAAGTTTTCCTCTAGGACTTTTATGGTTTCACGTGTTATATTAAGGTCTTTAATCCATTTTGAATTAATTTTTATATATGGAGTTAGAGAATGTTGTAATTTTATTATTTTAAATGTAGCTATTCAGCTCATTCCAGAACTACTTATTGATGATATTGTCTTTTCTCCATTACTTATTGTTGATTTCTTTGTCATAATTTAATTGACCATGAGTGCATGGGTTTATTTCTGGGCTGTTCTATTCCATTGATCTATGTGTCTGTTTTTCTACCAGTACCGTAATTTTTTGATTACTGTAGCTTTGTAGTATAATCTGAAGTCAGAGAGCACGATTACTCTACCTCTATTCTTTCTCAAGATTACTGTGCTTTTTGGGTCTCTTGTGTTTCCATACTGTTTTTAAAATTATTTGCTCCAGTTCTTTGAAAAATGTCCTGGTATTTTTGTAGGGATTATATGGAATCTGTAGATTGCATTGGACTGTATGGTCATTTTAATAACATTAATTATTCCAATTCATGAATACATATCTTTCAATTTGTGTTGTCTTCAATTTCTTTCATCAGTGAAATCTCTTGCATTTCTATATGCTAACAATGAACTGTCAGAAAGAGAAATTAAGGAAACAATCACATATAATTTGCTATGATGGTCACAGCAAAAAGAATAAAATACCTAGGAATAAACCTACCTAAGGAGGTAAAAGATCTGTTCTTGAAAAATTATAAAATATGCAGCTTTAAAAAGGCTACAGCTCAGGCAATGGTCCTAGGTTTTATCATTTTCTTTTCATGATCAAGAGAGCTTCATCAAAGCTCTTGCTTTCACATTGTGAATTTAGCTCTGTCCTTCTATGTATGCAGACCACCTGACCAGCCTCCTGAGAAATCTGTATGCAGGTCAGGAGGCAACAGTTAGAACTGGACATGGAACAACAAACTGCTTCCAAATTGGGAAAGGAGTATCTCAAGGCCTTATATTGTCACCCTGCTTATTTAACTTACACGCAGAGTACATCATGAGAAACCTTGGGCTGGAGGAAGCACAAGCTGGAATCAAGATTGACAGGAGAAATATCAATAACCTCAGATATGCAGATGACACCACCCTTATGGCAGAAAGTGAGGAGGAACTAAAGAGTCTCTTGAAGAAAGTGAAAGAGGAGAGTGAAAAAGTTGGCTAAAAGCTCAACATTCAGAAAACAAAGATCGTAGCATCTGGTCCCATCACTTCATTGCAAATAGATGGGGAGACAGTGGAAACAGTCAGAGACTTTATTTTCGGGAGCTCCAAAATCACTGCAGATGGTGATTGCAGCCATGAAATTAAGACGCTTACTCGTTGAAAGGAAAGTTATGACCAACCTAGACAGCATATTAAAAAGCATAGACATTACTGTTCCGAAAGTAGTCCATGTTGTCAAAGCTGTAGTTTTTCCAGTAGTCATGTATGGATGTGAGAGTTGGACTATAAAGAAAGCTGAGTGCCTAAGAATTGTTGCTTTTGAACTGTGGTGTTGGAGAAGACTCTTGTGACAGAGGATGAGATGGTTGGATGGCATCACCGACTCAACGGACATGAGTTTGAGTAAACTCTGGGAGTTGGTGATGGACAGAGAGGCCTGGCATGCTGCGATTCATGGGGTCACAAAGAGTAGGACATGACTGAGTGACTGAACTGAACTGAACTGAACTTCTAGGTATGCAATGCTTACAGCTCCTTTATGACATATAAATTAAAATTTTCAGAACTTCTGCCTATATCTGAGACTAGTTATGCCTGTGGTTTTACCACTAACCTTATCTCTACTCTATTTCTGTTCCACACAGTAGTTTATTGTTTTGAACATGATCATGTTTTTCTAATTTCATGTTATTAACACTTTTGTGCATCTCATGCAGGGAAAAGGAAAGATTAGGACATAAACTCATTGCTCATTTTTTACCTGCTATATTTTTACTAGTAAGAACAAAATTTTTTGCACATTTATTTATATTCATATTTATTCTTTTGTGATGTTTTGGTTCATAGCCTTTGCCAATTTTTTATTGATATGTTGCTATATATTTTTTTAATTGTCACTGATCTCAAAAATTTTCTTTACATTTAAATTCATTGTTGCTATGTCCTCATACATTTATAAAAATTTTACCTCAGATTGTCATTTGTTATTAAATCATATTTATCTTTCATTTAGGTAAACAAATATTTCAGTTGTATGTATTTATTTTTTAATTGTAAATAGTTTGTAAAAACTGTAAATATTGTAAAAATTATATCTCCTTTGTAATTATTGTCTCAATTTATATATTACAGGTTCAATGTATTCCATGGTTCTACTGTGGTCACATGTTTATTCTGAATGTTTCCTTGTCAACATTAAGAATCCTTAGTTTGAAATATTTTTGGTGCTTGCATTCCCTTTGAATAGTGACAATAAACTAAATAACCTGTCAATTTCTATCTATAGTGCATGTTCAAAGACTGTATAATGTAGCTGCATTATGCTGATTCCCTACTTTATGACTAATTGAATCTACATGCACAAAAACACTTTGCACAACAGCTGGAAAATTAAAATATTAAACTCCCACTGCTGATTGCTAATTATTTTATTTCTTCATGACAGATCTCAAGTTGTCAGAATGCAATGGCAATGTACATTACAAATAAAAATCACATTACTGTGAATTCAATTTGCACACATCTATGTTGGAGAGACACTAATCATAACTTACCAAGGAAACACTGTAACCTGAATCATTCCTATTTAATCTTTCTTAATGCAAATGATATAGAAATGGTCCTGAAGCTTTAAGAAATTGCTTTCCCTTTGTAAGAGTGAGCACAAACAGGTTAGCTCACTTTCATGTGGATTCTTCACTAAAAATAAACCGTGCTACTTAGCTAAATCCAGTTCTCAGCTGTATTAGCCTGTCTACCTTTCAAGATTTTATTTCTCTGTTTCTTTCTCAGCTTTTCCTGTTTTACTCCTAAACAGTAGTTTTAAAAGCACCAAGTTTAGAGTAAATAATCAAGTATTAGAATTGATTTTAGTTTAGCTATATAATTCTCCTGAGCATTAGTACCACTACAAGGCTGTTATGATAATTACAAGATCACATATGTAAAAACATCAACCCTAACACATAGTGACTAATCATTAAATGATGTTGAATCCAAATCTGAATTTACCCAGACTTTTGGAAGGCACCATACTTCTATGCTAAATTCTCTATTCTTTTCCTCTAAATTTATCCAATTCCATCTAGTACTTCTTGAGAGTCTAACTGGCACATGTCAAATACCTTCCTTGATTGTCCCCAGAAGAGTAAATTACCTTAACTAGGGGCCCAGTTTATTATAAAATCAAACTGTATTTGTCGATATTTTATTTTTAAAATGTTTCCAATTGCATATATTTCGTTGCGCCAAGCAGATGATCAACTTTTTGAGGTCAAAGGCCATGTCTTCAGCTTTTGGAGGAGCTGCTGTGAGCATGATACAATGAATGAGGCACTTCATAGTATGCTATGTTCTACATACCTTTTTTGAAACAAATGCTACAGCACTCTGTCTACTTGCAGATTTGATTTAGCTAATCTGACAGCCTCACCAATCAAACAGCACCATTATTCTGCTTTTTCATTAGCTTAAATGATATATTTATGCTGTGACTATATGCAGGAACGGTGAGGTAGAATATAAAGAAGGATAAAAGTAGGAAGTGAAGCAGCCTAGTGAGGAATGAGAAAGGAATCAAACAAACTGTAAATGGAAAATTATCTGTTGTTGTTCAGTCACTAAGTCATGTCCGACTCTGCAACTCCATGGACTGCAGCATGCCAGTCTCCCCTGTCCTTCACTATCTCCCTGAGTTTGCTCAAACTCACGTCCACTGAGTTGGTGATACCAACCAACCATCTCACCCTCCGTTGCCCCCTTCTCCTCTTGCCCTCAATCTTTCCAAGCATCAGGGTCTTTTCCAGTGAGTTGGCTCTTTGCATCAGGTGGCTAAAGTAATGGAGCTTCAGCTTCAGT